TCTTCGTTACTCTGTGGTCGAGCTCTGCGGCTATGGCCGCCTCTTCACTTCGTGGGACAGCACGGCATGCTTCACAGGTACATAACAACCAAACTTGTGTCGCTCATCTCTCTCTCTCCCTCTCTCTCTCTCTCGCCGTAGTGATGTCTTCAACGCAGGTATGTAGTTAACCAATCTTGTATCGCTCAACCTTCCTCAGTCTCCTCCTCTGTCCTCTCTCCCACTCTCTTCTTTGTTACTCTGTGGTCGAGCCCACGGCTATGGCCGCCTCTTCACTTCGTGGGACTGCACGGCACGCTTCACAGGTACGTAACAACCAAACTTGTATCGCTTGTCTCTCTCTCTCCCTCTCTCTCTCTCTCTCTCTCTCTCTCTCTCTCTCTCGCCGTAGCGATGTCTGAGAGAGAGAGAGAGAGAGAGAGAGAGAGAGAGAGAGAGAGAGAGAGAGAGAGAGCGATGGATGGATGGATGGAGAGAGAGAGAGAGAGAGAGAGAGAGAGAGAGAGAGAGAGAGAGAGAGAGAGAGAGTTCTGGACTTTGTGACCACAATGATCCGAAAAGAAACCTCTGAATTTCAGAAAAAAAAGAGTCGCTGCTTTTCTTTTTCTTCTTCTTCTTCTCCTTCTTCTACACCGATGTACTATAGCTTCTCAGTCTGTTGATGGAAATGTCAAGGCGACGGTGCATGTCAATGTCCATGTTTGGTCATGTTTGCTGTTGCTGGGGCGAGGTGTGGTGTTCTCCATGTTGCTTGATGTTACAGGTATGTTGTTGTCCACGTTTGCTAATGGCCAGGTATGTTGTTATCCTTGTCTGCTGACGCCCATGCTTGCTGTAACACCACCACTAACAACCCCAGCCCCACCATACTCCCCCCAAAAAACTCCCCCCAAACCCCCCCATCCCACCGAAAAATAGTTTCCTGGCTTCCTTTGCGCATTTCACTGTTCTCAGTGAGCGCAGTCTAACCGTGCTTAAAAAAAAATAATAATAATAATTTTTGGACCCGTTTTTAGCCCAACCGGAACTCCAGTTGGAGGACCTGGGTTGATCCGACGCGGTCCAACTGGCCAGTTGCCGGCCCAACACTGGTTTCATAATGTTTTGCTTTTTGGATATATCCTAAGGGCAAAAAAAGCATCGCTACTTTTGGCAATTCAAAAATTAACTGTCTGGATCGGTTGCTCATCCTCGACTCGGACGAGGACGTTGTCATTCTCATTATGCAGTTAAATCAGTAATTGAAAAGTAAAAAGCCCTCCATTAATTACCCAACAATAAAAAAAGAAAAAGAATGGAAACTTGTCCCTTCTTGTTACGCAGTAATACACAATTAAGGATACTGACACAAATTGGCAAGTGTTATATAAACATCAGAAAGTACAATGCCGTCCAATTGCAAAAAGAAATGAACAAACAGGAGAGGAGAGAGAGGGAAAGAAGAAGAAGAAGAAGTAAGAAAGAAGAAGAAGATGATGTGCTCCAACATAGACCAATGACAAGGCTCTTCTTCCTCGCCAACCAATCTCCTCCTCCTTATCTCCTCCCCTCTTATTCAAACAAAAAATAATTATAATAATGTTGAATGGCTGAACCAGAATCAATGTCCAAATCCCACTTCTACTGCAAGCACAACATGAGGTCCACCATAGCCATGGCCACCCTTCCTCTTCCTCAACATACAGGTCGGGGCTATGGCCGAGTACTGAGGGCTCTCCCTCCTGTCCGAAGGTCAACCCAAAGCAGCTATGCCGCTGCCCTTCTGTCCCCAGGTCAACTCCCTGCAGCTATGTCGCTGCCTACTTAACTGCCATGCCTGATTCTGTCCCGAGCTTCCTTGATGCGGCACTACCCCCACTGGGGCCTTCCAGATGCAGCACTAACAAGGTGATGAAGATGGTGTCCACCATAGCCAGGTAAGTACCCCGCCACTCTCCTCCTTGGTCCCCTTCTCCCTCCTCCTCCTACCGGTAGAGCTCCACCATAGCCAAGGTGGAAGYTCCCGGCTTCTTCCTCCCAGCAGCGCTGTAGTACCCAGCGCTACTCCAGCCAGCGCTCCAGCAGCGTGTCGCCAAACTTGCACACTGAAGAATGAGGCCGAACTCTTGCCTCGGCCTCTTGATATAGCGGCATGCTTGCCTCTTGGGCGGTGACTTCCAGGCCGCTCGGCCTCCCAAGCAACCGGTACCTCCTCCCTTTCGGAGGGAAACATCATTGCAGACTCTAATATTGCCCGTACAGGCTCTAGACTCAGGCTGGATGGACTGGTACCGGCCTAGACCTAGCCTACCGCTACTAGGCCTCTAAAAATGCCAACTTTGTCTTCTTCTGCTCGGCCTTGAGTACCCGGCACATCTACTGCTACTGGGTGCGGTACCGGCCTACCTGCTACTTGAGTGTTTTTCCGCTGCTCCAGGTGTATGGACCCCTGCCTCCGCTACTTGAGTGTCTTCGGCTGCTGCAACCCTCAATGCCACGGCCACAGGTAGGTACTGGCCCTATGGGCCAGCCAAACAAGCAAGTACCCTTACGGGTCACACACACAATCGTACCGACAAGCACTCAGACAGGCACGCAAGTCAACAGGCACGCACACATACAGACTTAGAAAACACAGTAGAATGCAGGAATCTTGGCAATGCATCCATTCCATCAGCAGGACTTCAGAAATCAGCAGTGTTCTCAGTTTTTGTTATGGCGGGTCATTACACTACCCCCCCCTCAAGAGCGAGGTCCCTTCAAGAGAGTAACTCAATCAGAATCCTTGCATAATGCATCATAAGCATAAATAGCAAAGAGAGACCGGGTATGTTCCGTAGGAGTGAGGGTAGCAGTGAATTTAGGCTGCTGTTCGAAACTAATCAGTCGTTCATATGCGTTGACGATTCGCAACAAATCTTTCTTAGCGATCCAGTGAAAGTCATTCAACGGGTGGTACAAAAAATGGACTTTGTACTGTCTGTTTCTTCCCTTTCCACTGTGTTCGACAATCCTATCAACCTCGTGACCGCCATTGATTGCGTGAGGAATCATTGATTCTCGATACAGAAAAGTTTCAGATGGTTCATACGGAAACAACTTCGATGCATGAAAGACTGGGTACGTGCGCAGATGAGCAGGCACATCGATCGTGTAAGAAAGACCAAAGGAATCATCTCCTACTCGATTCAACACCTTCCACGGACCGTAGCACTGAGGAAGAAGCTTCCGTGATACACCTTCTTCTTCAGAAAACTCACACATCTTAACCCAGACATAGCTTCCCACTGTGAAAGGCTCAGGCTGACGCTTTTTATTTGCATGCTTAATCATGGCACTGCGTCGCTTTTCCATGGCTGCGACAACAACTTTGAGCAAACGTTCAAACTTAGCGTTGTAGCCTGGCTGACCAGGTGTCGGGCCAGGTGGCTGGTCAGGAAACAGATAGGATAGGGGATTGCGAATCTTCCAACCGAGGTGCAGCCGATTAGGTGTCATCCAGGCGGAGGAGTGTATGGAGTTGTTATACAATCCTTGCACAATCGGCAATTCCTCATCCCAAGAGTTCTGATCAGGCACAATTAGAGGTCGAAGAAGTTGGATCACAGTCTGGTTGACCTCCTCAGCCAGTCCATTGGCTTCGAGATGTCCGCCAAACGTCATCTTGAGTTTGATGTCGTAGATTTGGGAGGTGAAGTCCTTCCAATCTTCACTTATGAACCTAGTGTCCCGGTCACTCACAAAATTTTTCAGAGGCCTACACTGCAGAATGCACCGTTTGTGGAATTCCTTGATCACAAGGTCAG